TTTAATCTAGGAATATAATCAATCAGTCCATTAAAATGGTAAGATTATTTGGATTTTTAAACAAAAATGATACTTTACAGTCTTTTAATTCCACCAAAGATAAAACTATGAACTTTGTGGTGATTCAGAAAGTTATGTAACTTGAACAAAATTGTGTCCTTTTTAAAAAAAAATCTGTAATACAATTAGCACTATACAATGTAAACATTCGAAGAAATCGTCCACAATTGCCGATTTCAGTGCATCTGTAAGCTGCACTTATCTCTGATGTTCACATTAAAAATGTAAATCGGGCACAATGGACACTTGTTTCTGTAACTCACTTCAGCAGTTTAAGTCACAATCAAAGGTTCAGACAACCATGTGGGGTCCCTTCATGTGAGCAAATATAAAATAAAATGATAAAAACTCGCAGCTTACAACAGTTTGGGGGACAAACTGTTACTCATTCAATATTATCAAGAACAAAATGCTAACTATTAACATACAAGGCCACAAGAAAAGACATCAACAAAAACAAATAAATAAAAAAAAAAACAACATGATGATCTGATTACACTTAGCCCAAATGAAAACGATAAACGGTTTTCAGTTTTTCAGAGCGGCCATCATGGATGTGAAGTCAGACAGTCTTTGATAATCTGGGTCATCCTCTTTCTTGCCGTCTTCCGAATCTTTGTAGGCTGGATTTTTAGATTTGTGAGGAAGTCTTAATGTACAGGGTAACATTTCAGCCATCACTGTGTGATGTGTGACTAGTGCTAAAAGGTCAGGCCATTCTTTTTCCAAGCCCTGAAATAATTAAAAGATTCAATGACTTCATTTCACTATATTTCCATTTCAATCTTAGCTAATATGGATTGGGAAAAAAGGGATTGCACTAAAGATAATTTCAATTACTTAGTCTTGCACTAGTCTTTGACTTGCTTCCATTAATTAAGCACCATGTGTTGACTGAAAGCAGGACTTCATTACCTTTAATTTGACTCCTCTCTGTGTTTTTAGTATAAGATAGTGAGATATTCCTGTTGGATTTTCAAACTTTGGCACTCGGACGGAGAGGGCATAACAGCCGGGGTGGGTGGAGCTGTCCCTCACAATGAAGGATCCTATCTCCTCCTGTTGTAGAATCTCTAATGCTATCTCTCTAAAAAATCAAACAATCATATTAAATATCATTAAATGTTTCAAATAAATAGAACTGCAATCTTGATTCATATAAATCAATCAAAAGGTTGCATATGTATATGCAAGAGACAAGGTTTTCCTCATTTTGAGACCTACTGAAATTCTATGAATAGAATAGAATAGGAATAGCTTTTATTACTAAATGAGGGCCCAAATGGGCATAAACATATAACATATATAATTACAGTTTATGTCAGTAAGTCAACAACAGCATAAAAACATGAGAACAGGAAATCTCACATTTATAGAGTCTTCATAACTTGACCCTATATTGTTATTTAATAGCACATTCAATGTAATGGAAGTTAAAATTGTTTAGATCCATTAGCACACAATCATACTTGTTCTACAGTAAATGTCATGGGACATATAAAATTCCCATACCAGCCTGTGTATAGTTTTTACAGCATTATAAAATGTGTTGAAGTTCAATTGCCATCAATTTATAGACTAGCTCTAGAGTTATTAATCAATTATTTTTTCTTAAACCTTTTAAGGAAAACTACCTCACAATAAAGCATATACTGCAATATAAATCAATAGAGAAGTTGTTTTGAATTCAAAGGACTGGTTTTGCTGACAATAGCAAGTTACACCTGAGACAGTTTATCACTGAAGAGTTCATCACTGGGCCACAATTAGAGTCAGCTATAAATAATAAAAAATAATGTTGATATTGGAAATACATGTATTTCACCCCGACATAAAAGAGCTTACCTTGGAATTCCAGCCTGGTACCAAGATGAATGTCGTAGTGTCTCATCCTCAATGTGACTTCTGTCCAGACCCATCAAAGACTCCAATCTGTAAGGACAAGCAACAAACATCCATCATCAATAATCTGTATACAAATACATGCCTCTTGTTCTTACAACAATTTTAACATCCTGAAAGAAGATCAATGACACTTTCCTTAATCAATCAATATGTTACCTCCATTTTTTCTCTCCTTCACCTATTGTAGTATTCACATAGTTTTTATCTATGTCACTTCCTTTGGCAATGAATCTAAACATAATTCCCACATTACCAAGCTCGTTTTTTACAACACCTCTAGAGAGGCTAAAAGAATCTACACTATGCTTCCATTCATGTCTCCTACTAAACATTCAAACACGCAAAGCTGAGAAAAAAACAGAATTGGTTGCAGTCAATCACTTGAGTGTTACGAGACCCCCATCTCATTTCCGGTGCGAAGGTATCTGGTTTTTATCCCATTGATTGCATTAATATTTAATGCAGACTTCAAGGGCTTCTAAGACCTAATGCATCAAGTTCACTTCCTCTTACTGCAATATGTCTCATATTTTTGTCCTGCACATTAATTGACCCCTGTATGATTAATGTTAAATATTCAGTAATTAATATTAGCTTGACATGCTGATGTGAAAGTCAATCCAATGAGCATTAACATTTTTTTATTTATGCCAACTGTATAATCTTGAGATTGTTTTTGCATAACGAGATAAAACATTTGCAAAGCAGAGTGTAGAGGCCTCATTGTAGCTGACATGCAATCCCAAAGGATAATACTTTGACAGAAAAACCATTAGGTCTATTTTCACTAAATCATTAAAACTGAATATTTTCCCAAACTAGATTGTAAAAAAGCAGTAAATTCATATTCAAAAGATATTTGAGAAGGTTCATAAGAATATAAAAGTTTTAGTTCTACCATTACCTGCCTTCAATTCATCACTCCACTGAACATAGTTAAGCTTCATAATGACTATTAATGTATGATTTACAACATTGGTCAAATTTCTGATTTTATTTAAAGCCTGTTTATTGCCTATGACTCATCCATTTGATCCATGATATCATTTGTATTTTGTCCCATTTTCAATTCAAATAAGCATGCCAAAAATTTGCAAAGAATTCAACAATTTTAAAAAAAAATTAGTACAAGTAAAAAAGTGGAAATCTCTCCATCTAATTCCTGATAGTGCTGATATATGAAGGTTAAATTAAAGCTGCCACGCTCCATCTCGGTTATGCCTTAACATGCTGTCAAAACCTTTGTACATAATCAGCTTTAAGATAAAGTGAGCATCAGTCAGAATCCTTTAAATCACAGTGTAGCAACTGAAACTGGTAATCATTACAAGAATCAATCTAATATTCAAAAAAAAAAGCAGCATTGGGTTTATTTTTACTTCCAAACATTTTTCTTAATCATGAAGCTCTATGATAAAATAAGGCTTCAAATGGAAGTAAAGATGACACTCATAAGAAGACACAATTTTCCTTGGATTTGAAAATTGTTTCCCCAAAAGCAAGATTAAATTCTTATATATTATTGTCTATCAGCCATTAAATAAAGCAAACTTTCATATTTCCAACATTAACAAATTAATACATTGATTTTTTCTTACCTGCCTGAAATGAGTTTCACCATTTTTTGTACATCACAAACTGTGCCATTCTTACATATAAATGCTATCCACTGTGTTCAGACTATACTACATATGTATAATTTTGAAGTGATGGCTGATCATTAGTCTAATCTCTCCCAATACTCTTAGAATAAATCAGATCTGATGGTTTTAAGGTGACTCGTCAACAAAGGGAATCAATCAGAACAGCTTAGATCAATGACACAGAAGGATTACACAGAAAAAAAGAGATCTCCGTAAGGAATGCAATTAGCAGGTGGATTATGAAGGTCACTGAAATAGTGAGCACCTGATTAAGATGACATCATTTGCATCATCTTTCACTAATTACAAGAAAATTATATGGCCATTAAAACTTCAACACCAGAGTACCCATTACTCATTTCCTAAGTTTGATTTTGAGAAAGGGCATTTACTTTAAGTTAGAGTATCAGACAGCTGGATTTCCAGTCATTATTATGTACAAGTCATCGACTGAATGACTCTTGGAGTGACTTAAAAAGATCATCCCCCTTGTCTATGTAGAGAATGCTAGATTACCCCCACACTCTAAATAAAAGTCTTGTAATCCTCTCTCTGTTTAATTCCCTTAAGTACGTTTATTCTGTATTTTTCTTCTTTGTGATTTAAGGAAGATAAAAACTGTTTACAAAATGTCCAGTGTGTATGTAAAGGATAAAGTGTATACAGAAGCAAAAAAACAAAGATCCCTGAAAATACTTCCAATGAGTCAACATGCATAACACGTTTTTAATAGGTTACAATGGGTGTAACAGTTTACAGAACTTTGATTTAATTATTGAATGATTCAGTTTTATCTTTACTTTCTGCAAGGTATGCATATAAAATCTTTACGCATACTTGCTGGTAATCTAGATATGTTTCAGAGGATTCCATATGGTTCTTTCTTGAAGCTGGTTCATTATTTTTTCAGACTGCAGTATCCAACAGCTGACAAAACCTGAACCGAACTTTCATTTCCAGCCCTAAGCTTACCCCCAGAGAAGATGAAATGAAAAAGGAGATAGTTGACCGAGACCTGGTTTCTCAGAAACACTCAATTTCACATTTCATGAAAGGAAACAGATTTACCTGTGACAAAAAGAATGTCAACAATCAGAGAAATAAATCAAATTCCAGTGGTTGAAAGCTGAGAAATAATACTGTCTCTTGCAAAAGAGTAACATCAGAAATGAAGGGGTTTTTTTCCTTGAAGTTCAACTGTTGCATGTCATAAAACACAGACAAGATCCTACATTTGTTATTTCTAGATTGTTCTAAAATAACGTCACTCTACATCAATCAAAACATGAATCAGATGAATTATGATTACACTGTCATATTTTTAAATTTATCGCTATGCTCCCTCAAAATAACTATAAAAAATAGGTTTTTAGTGTGTGACTCAATACAATTGAATATTTCAAATTTTTCTAATCATCTTACTATAAATACCCTTTGAGTAGGGAAATTTTGATATCTGAAAATAAAAAAAACAAATGGAAAATACTTTTAAATTTAAAAGTTCTAATGTAAAATATATATTCTATTCAATTTTTTTTTTCAGAATCCCTTGCATGAAAATTCAATATATCATAAGCGATTAATCCTGGGAATATTTTTCCACATTTTTTAACACTTTTGTTCTCTGAATAAACATAAAATCATGCCAACAGGCAAACAAATCCATTTGAAAAGAAATCATTTATTTTGTAGGTTTTAAATTTTCCAACATCTTCAGAAGGTTAACTGGTATCTTTTGAGGTGTAAAGATCTGCACAGGATAAAGAAAGCAGCTATCTCCACGATTCTCCCTTGAATGCTATCTGATTTTGTGGGCAGTTAATTTGCTATTAAAATCATTTATTTTTTCATGCTTAGTTTGTTATCATAGGACATAAATATTAGTTCAATATTTCTAATGTTTCTAAGTGTTTCCTAGCTAGTAAAACTAAAATAAACATATAAATCATTTTTTTCATATGTCTATCCACTTTTAGAACATGCAATTACACCTTTTAAAAAGTGGACAACCATCTTGATTTTGCTAAATAATAATTTATCATTGCAGTGAATGAAAAATTCTGATAAATTTTTCCTTTAAAAATCTTGTTATGTTTGTTCAATGATCTGGCTAAACTTTAGAGACACCAAAGAAGTCATTAAAGAAACTGAAAACTATAGTGACTGTCAATTAATACTCATAGGTCCCTTTTTGTATCCCATTAATTGCAACATATGACATTAAGGACAGATGATACATGCCAAGATTGATATAATTTTTTGGACCTTCTGTATTTGATTATAAATTATGCAAATATAAAATTTCTAAAATATTAGGAAATTGTAAACTTTCTATGATGTTTTCAAAATTCTACCCTTTGCAGTCATCCTTATAAATCTACTGTATATGATTTTTTAAAATCACTTTATTGGACATATTTGTGAAATTTTGGATATATTTGTGAAATTTTGAATAAAAATTAAATCTTTCCAGCTAAATCATTTATTTTACTTATATAAACATAGCTTGTTATTTTCCTAATTTTATGATAGTTTGTTTGTATCACCGCTGTCCTTATATGTACCATGTGGGTTAACCAATAATATATCCTTTCCATTATCTTCTGCATGCAACCGTGTTCTGGTACCACAGGAGAACTGGCATTAGCAAGATACGTAATCGGGAAACATCAAATGTGTAAAATTGATTTCCTACGAATAGAATCCTAGTTAATATTTCAAAATACTTAAATTTACATAAATTTATTTAAGTTGGCTAGTTTTATTATGATTATAGGAGAGGCTGGACATTTTATGACAAAATTGCATAAGAAAATTACTCGGAGCTGTGAATTATCAATCTGGAATAAAGTGAAACAAAACCAAAATAGGAAGAAATTTATGACTAGTCGATAGTTCGAAATTTCATGATTGAATCATTTGTGTTTTATGATCTCAATCGTATAATCAGCTGTATGGAAAATTGCAGGCTTCACTGAAATCAATTATGAGAGATATTGAAGTTCCAAATTACTGTGTGATGATAAGCATCTCTAGAGAAAAATAAACAGGAATTTTATGATTTTCCAACATCCACTAACCATTACAAAGAGAGAACTTCAAACAGACCTGCCAATACCAAATTTGTTTTACAACCTTTTCTGACTCGGTGAATTTACATAAAACCATTCAGCCATTTTATGTAGATACTTTACAGCCATCATATCACATTCTGATTTTAACCCTGTGATTCACCTTTTAATTACAAGCCAAAATAAAATGATAATACCACAGTGTAAACAGTAATCAATATATGTAAATTTCAAGAAAACCGACAATTCCTTACCCAGTGATTTTAGTGGATTTCCTCTGTCTCTTTCTTTCAAACCATCGTTTGAAAATACT